TTAGGTCTCTGATCAAAAGTGTCACCAAGATTTTTGGCAATCAAAAGTTTATCACACAGTTATTGAAAGTCTTTGTTACTAGATCAAACTGGGGGAGGGGTGTCATACAAATGATCAACATCCATATGATTAAAAAGAAGTCCTCCCGGAGCCCTCCACAGGTAAATGGTTGAAGTGCATGCCATATAACAGCAGAATCCCCCGTTCAGTTCTGCCTCCACACTATTAATACTATTGCTGCTGACCTGCAATCTCTTTTGCTGTAATCTGATGAAGATAGAATATTTTTATATCTGTCAACCTTACAAGTATAATAAGTAAACTGCAGCTTTTCTGTTTTAAAACCTGAAAATAAACGTGGTTGTATATTGTTATTTTTTGTGCTAAAGCAAAGACTGGGGCTCATTACTTGACAAGTGACACTTGATTAATAAAGTATGCAGTGCCCTGCAAGGTGAAGGGTGTACCGTACACTGTGCTCTCCGTTAGATTTCTGCTGATTGCAGTGAGGTAGCCTAAGCCTCAGTAAATTCCCCTTTTGATTAGAGCCACAAATAAAGCTTTACCGGCCACTGAGCTGTGACAATAGACCGTCTGCTCTCTAAGTCCAGCCAGCCTGGTATGCAGGCCAATGAATGCCACAATGGGATGGCAGGACTTGTTTTTATCTGACAGTGCTGGGTTTTTAGCCCTGCTAGCAAAAGCAAAGGGCTCTGAGGATGGCAAATCCCTCTGATGGTCAGCTCTAACGACATTTGGCCCAGTGTGTGTAAGGAATAGCACGGACTCCATCGGCCACTAACTGATGAAGAAGCAGCACACACCGGTGGTCTGAAGGATGCACATTATTGTGGGCCAATGGAAACAGTCAATTTTATCACATTAATGTATCAGTCAGCACATCCCTGCTAGTTTGTTTTTTGCGCACATATACAACAGAACAGCATGAATCCAGATAACAGAAATAAAACAGATGTGACAGGAGAAGAAGCCATGCACCTTGACTCAACTAAAAAGAGAAATAAAAGTAAATACAACATGATTCAGTGCAATACAAAGAACATAAGTAACAATTATACACGGATAATGAACAAAAGAATACACAAAATAAGCAGACAATAATGAAATGAAAGAATGAGACATAAACAAGAAGTAATTGGACATCATGAATTAAATGTGATGACAAAAGAGATGCAAAGTGGGAGCAGCTGTTTCAGGGCTCCTGGTTCTGGAAGTAAAAGCCCCATTCATTTTTCCCATAGGCAGTGTTACATGACTCACAGTTGGACCACTTGTATTGCTTGAATCAACAAGAAACATAAAAACTGTGGGACATTAACTATGACTCCCAAGGTGCATTTCAGCAAGAAACTTCCAATCCCAGACCGCGCTTAAGATTCTACAGTGGCGGGCAAAATGTGAAAAGACACTTCTGGATCACTTGTGGGTGAATTGTAACAACAAAGCTGATTTGTTCCTCTTCTCCATGGCAACAGTGGCCGAAGCTCATAGGTATTGTAGTATTTAGAGCTAGAAAAATACAGCTAAAAATAGTTTTTTTCATGGATATAGGGTTACCATAATAGCCATGTCAAAAAAAGAGCTAAAACATCAAATTGCTATTTCTGTGTGTTCTTTTGTCTTTCTTGTTTGTTTTTCTTAATTATTATTCTGATGTTTGTTTAGTATTCTCTTCAGTTATATCAGGTCTGTTGTTGGTTTCTGTTTTTTCTTCATATATCTATTCCATTGACCCCACAACTTGTGTCACAAACAAAATGTAGATGTTTTAAGAGACTTCCATCTACTGACACCTTAGCATAATCCCAAGCATACCCTTCCTGCAAATATTATCAAAGTAGCCTCTTCAATATTCAGTGAGAGCTTATTAAGTTGAAACCATCTTCAATCTTCATCTTGTCAAATCTGTGAGATCAGATCATATTAGTATCATCAGCAAACAAAATAGTAAAAGAAGATTTACAAATGAATGAAAATGTAATTAAGAATAATAATAATAGGTATCTTAAAACTGATCCCAATTGTTTGAAGCCCAACAATTAGTTATTATTGCTCCCACTCACTCATATAGCTTGTTAATCACCTCAGTTGTGGAAACCATACTGTTTTAATTTGAAATAAATGTTGTATGTATATAATGTATATAACTGTATGTAACTATATAACAGCATCTGGACTCCCCAGGAACCTATGCCAGGATCCTGTTTGTGGACTTCAGCTCTGCTTTTAACACCATCATCCCAGCTCTGTTACAGGACAAGCTCTCCCAGCTCACTGTGCCTGACTCCACCTGCAGGTGGATCACAGACTTCCTGTCTGACAGGAAACAGCACGTGAAGCTGGGAAAAAATGTCTACGACTCTCAGACCATCTACACCGGATCCCCCCAAGGATGCGTTCTTTCTTCTCTGCTCTTCTCCCTGTACACCAACAGCTGCACCTCCAGTCACCAGTCCGTCAGGCTACTGAAGTTTGCAAATGACACCACCCTCATTGGGCTCATCTCTGGTGGAGATGAGTCCACCTACAGATGGGAGATTGACCATCTTGTGACCTGGTGCAGCAAGAACAACCTGGGAGCTAAAAACATGGAGCTGCCTTGCACTTAAGAAGAACCAAGCCCCACCCAGCAGCATTTGTACTTCCTGCAGCAGACTCTGAGGAAGTTCAACCTGCCAAAGTACACATGATGCTACACCTCTACATGGGCGCTAATCATCGAGTTCATCCTCACCTAAGAAAGCTTCCATCACCATCTGGTACGCTGCTGCCACTGCCAAGGAAGTTCAACGGGCAAAGACGTTCATGGTACACTTCTACATCTGCATGATGAAGGTCGATCGGCTGCAACCTGCCATCCCTCCACGACCTGTACACCTCTAGGACCCTGAGGCGTGCAGGCAAGATTGTGGCTGACCCCTCCCACCCTGGCCACAAACTCTTTGAACCACTCCATCAGGGCCAAAACCTCTGGCCACAGAAGCAGTTGCTTTCCATCTGCAGCTGGCCTCATTAACAAGGCCCAGACCCCCACTGACACGGACTCTTATACCCACCCTGTATATATGCATTACATTAATGCACTCCCGTCTTCTGTACAGTTTTCTTTCTTTCCTAGCTTTATTAATTTATATTTTAAAAGTACTTTATTTTTCTGTGTGATTTTTGTGTGATTTGTATATTTGTATATTTTATGCACCAATGCACCAAGACACATTACTCATAGGTGTAAAAACCTACTTGGCAATAAACAATTCTGATTCTGATTCTGATTCTGATTCTGAACTTGTCCTTGTCCATGTCCTTGTATATTTAATAAGTGAATACATCACTCTTATTTAAATATTATGTTTTTACATTACATTAATTGAATGCCTTTAGATAAGCAACTTACAATAAGTGTATTCAACCATGGATACAACCCAACATTTTCTAGACCCATACAAGTACATCAAAGCTCATCAAATATGCTTGAAGTGCTAACATTAAGAAAATAAAAGACAGAAAAATAGGAAAAAATTATTTATTTAATTAATTAATTTATGGGCCAAGGTGCAGTCTGAACATATGAGTTTTCAGTCTGCAACTGAAGATGTGTACAGTTTGCTGTCCTGATGTTGATGGGGAGCTCAGTCCACCATTGCAGAGATTTTGTTGTTGCCGTATCAAGTACCAGTGTTAGTGTCTTGAAGAACAAAGAGGCCAGGTAGCATTTATATATGGTTAAGTCTGGTGGCTTTGGACAGAGGATATAATGGCTTCAGTTTCCCAAGGTAAAGGTAAAGTGGTTAACCGGTGGGCTTTTTTTAAGGTGACTAAAATATGGTTTGTTGCATTCCCTTGTCCACAGCTTTGCTCTGCTTCTGTGCCAGTAGAAGCTTCTGTTCAACCCCACTTTCAAAATACTGAACTATCCCTTAACTTTAAAGAGAAGCTTTCATTGTGTGTTTTTTTTCATAATGCATTGCAATAGCCTGTTTAAACTGATCATAGAGGCTACCAAACAACTAATCAATACTGATACTCTATGCTAATAGATAAAGGAGTATTGATAAGACATGCTTTAAATTCCCTAGATAGAACAGTGCTCTAAGCAGACGGGATGTCATGCAGCAGACGACAGTACATGCAACCATAACAGACAAAAACTTACTTGTGAGCATTTTGTTTATAGAGTCCATTTTATGCATATGTCATTTTTTATATATTTAGATTATCTCCTGGCCTATATCCTATATTGCACATTGCAAATATCCTTTATATTTCATACTGTGAACTTGCACATTCTTGCACAGCTGTACAGCTCTTAATTTGAATAACAATATTGCACACATTGCCATTTTAGATTTGTATATATATTGTCTGTTTTATTGTATATATTTCATATTTATTAATATTTTCCTATTCTATGTTTATTGTTGTGTACCATGGCAAATGCCTTGTATGTGGAAACCTATTTGGCAATAAAACCGATTCTGACTAGATCAAAATGAATTGTATATAATGAAATGCATGTAAAAGAAAAAAAAATAAATCTAAAAAAACTAGGGGGAAAAAAAGGGGGAAATGTTTTGTTGTGAATTGTTCCTGGTTTGATGGTGGTGGGAAGCCACTCATAATAACCTTTATTTATAAATCCTGCCTACCTGTGTCCATGTTTGCGCTTGATGCTGTGTCCATGCCTGTGTACACGTGCCCCTGGCCACGCCCCCCAAAGGTTAGTCCACGCTGCCACAAAGCGGCACTGCGTGGGCGGAGGACCCCTCACCTGCTGAGTCTGTATTAGCTCAATAAAGTATTTCCTATCCTAACCAACAACAATAATGGCCTCCTGACACGACTAGAGCCCTCTTTCAAAATAAAAACAAACGTAGCATGCTCGCTCTATTCTCCACCTCTTTCGCTGTTTTCTCTTTCCGCCAATCACAGTGTGGCGGAGCTGCGGAGTAAACCCCGCCCTCTGTTCTCTGTGTGCTGGAACATTTTGTTTACGGAGGTAAACTAGTTCCTACAGCTGGACAGCCCGTGGCATTTCACTCGCTGTCTCATTATTAACAGCAAAAAGCTGCAAACTGTTGACAGGCTGGCGTTTAACCTTTCCTAGCGACAACCAGGCAGACGGCAGGACGTCAAACTACACCAGTTACGAGTTAAAGTAATGAAAGATAAACACGTCCTCCCTTCATGCTTACTTTCAACAAAAAAGAAGTTATGGATATTTGCGACGGGAAGAAGAGGAGAAAGGTAAGCGGCGGTGTGCGGGCCTGCAGGCGGAGCGTGGCCGCGAAGATGAAGCGCGAGGTGGGCAAAGTGCTCCGCTCCCGCACGGTGGAGGACAACAATTACACGGAGCCTATGGAGGAGGACGACGACGACGACTGCTTCTCCATTAGCTTCCTCCGCAGTGACCGGCTGGAGCCCGCCGTGGTGATGGCTCCCCGGTACAGCCTGCTACGGGAGGTCGGTCGGGGGAGCTATGGGGTGGTGTACGAGGCTATAGCCCGTAAAACAGGGGCCAGGGTGGCGGTGAAGAGGCTCCAATGCGACGCCCCGGAAAACGTAGAGCTGGCTTTGGCCGAGTTCTGGGCCCTGACGAGCCTGGAGAACAGACACCAGAATGTGGTCCAGCTGGAGGAGTGTGTCCTGCAGAGGAACGGCCTGGCCCAGAAGATGAGCCACGGGAACAAGAGGTCCAAACAGTACCTGCGACTGGTGGAGACGTCACTCAAAGGTATACAGGCTACTGTAATGCTATTAATATTAATAATAAAAAAGAAAGAGTAAATGCATTAAAAAGAGCTCCAAAAAATATATTAAAGAGTCATTACTCCAAAAACATTAGTCTTACTAAGTAGTTTACAAGGGGGCAGTGATTTTGCATGCTTAAGCTCCAAATCCAAACTTCTGGAGCCCTTTAATTAAAGGCCCAGGTGTCTCATGTTAATATAATATAATAAAATCATACTAAATTAATCTTCAAAATGGTTAAGTGTGTTTTCAGCGTATGTAAACATGCACTATGGGTTTGTAGTTGATGGCTATAAGTGTAACCACAGTTGTGGCCCGTGTTTACTGGCTCACACTGCCACAGATTTATAAATAAAAAAAAGTAAAGCTTTTACAGTTTACAGTGCTTATTACAGCCATTTCTGTCACATTTCTATTATAAATGTAATTTGCATTAATGTAATGGTTTGGATGATGTGTGGGTGCTATATCTGTGCTTAAATCATGTGTAAAATATGTGTCATAAACTTTAAAATATATGTATGGTGGAAGGTTCTTTCACTTAAAAAGGATTTTGTGAATTCAAAGTAACATTTATGCCTTTTGCAGCCCTCTATCTGTCACTGACATCGCTATACGTTACCTATAGTAGGCACAGAGAGTACACTGTGTTTCCCTCTGCTCAAAGAGAACACAGTGTACTACTTGGCAGCATGTTAACCCATTGCTTGTTGACTGAAATGTTGGACACTAAACAGTGATGTTACAGTGTAATGTTGGACATTATAATGAAATAGTGCAGCTTTATTGTATGACAGCTTCATTTTTTTCACTTCTTTAGGTGCCATTGTTGTCCTCAATCCTGTTTGACCTACTTACCACTTCCATTGTTATTTATTAACAGGCCTAATACAAATAGATAGTAGCTGTTAGAAATATGTCTTCCAAAAATTTTAATTTAGCATTTAAACACAGATGTTGACCCATGCTGTTAAAAACCCAGGGTTAATACTGAATTGGTGTACAGTCGTTGCTTCTGTTCTTTTAATAGCTCGACTGTTGAAATTAAATATTAATATTGAGCTGACATCTTTTGCAGCCATCAAGTGATAATACAGAATGTTAGGGTTTGGATAACAATGCTAGTCTATATGCCCTTTTAGCTTTTGTGTTGGCCCACTTAACCAAGTTTTCTGAAGTGGAAAGCCAAGTGGTCACTTGCTACTGTACCATGTACAGCAACAGCCCACAGAGGTTTCACAGCTGCCTCATAGTCAAAATTCAAAGTCCAAAAGTCAAAATTCTCAGATTTCAGCTTCTCACATGTGAATATTTTCTGGCTTTATTTGTCCTCTATCACAGTAAACTGAATATCTTTGGCTTGTGGGCAAAACAAGACATTTGAGGATGTCACCTTGGGCTTTGGGAAACAGTGATCAACATTTCTCACCATTTTCAACGGATTAATTGATGATAGAAATAACTGTTAGTTGCAGCCCTATTGTCTGTTAGAGCTTAATAAATCGACTAGGCTGATATTAACTCATATTAGTTTGTTTGTGTCGGCACATGTTGGCTGATGTCAGTAGATAAATGTCAGAGAAATTTGTTGTGATTTATAAATAGTGTCTGTACTACTGTGTCTGTCAGCCAGTATATTAATATGAGTGTTATCAGTAAAATCAACAATCCAGTTTTAGGCTTTAGTGTCTATTATTCACTGTCCTACTAGCAGGGTTGTCCCCCAGTGTTTAACAGCACCATTGTAAAAAGTGTATAGGGGCTGTTTCACAGTCATATATTTAACTAGTATGACTTTGTTTACATCTGCTAACTAAATCGATCACGCAATGAGACGTGTCAAGATCCTGGTGGCTTACCACCTCAGCTGAACCATTTCCTGGGGGGAGACCCTGGCCGCCTGTCTCTGCTGCTCCAGAAGCGACCGTGAAGTCTGCAAAAAGTTGAGGTTTGAAACCTCAAACGCAGCAGTCTTTGAAGTGGAAGTGACACAAATAAATGTATGAGCAGATCATGATACAGTTGCGTGCAGTTTTAAACCACTGATAATGGTGTTGCTTCCTCATAAAAAACCTAAACATGCACAAAAAATACCTGCTTCTCTTGAAACCTGTAGATGATTTATAATTTTTTTAATGTTGTACTGGAACTCTAAAAACTCATAGACACATTAAGAGCAATTAGGTCTTAAGTCTCAGTTAAATCTAATTAGCATGTCAAATACTGTGCTGAAATGGCAGTGAAAGTAGCAGTGCACTTGTGTGTACTTGTCTTGTTCATTGTTTTGGGTTTGAAGTATGGAGGGACGGTTTTCACACTTGTCATAGTCTGTGCTTTGGGGCACCTCTGATTTTGAGTGCTAAATGTTGAACTGTTATTATCTCACTAATCACATCATATCTGTCTATCTTCAATCTACACTCTGCAGGGGAGCGCATCCTGGGTTACCCAGAGGAGCCGTGCTATCTCTGGTTTGTCATGGAGTTTTGCGAAGGCGGGGACCTCAACCAGTACATCTTGTCCCGCCGGCCCGACCCTCACACCAACAGGAGCTTTATGCGCCAGTTGACGAGTGCTGTGGCTTTCCTGCACAAGAACAACATTGTCCACCGTGATCTGAAGCCAGACAACATCCTCATCTCACAGAAATCTGGTTCACCTGTTCTCAAAGTGGCCGACTTTGGCCTCAGTAAAGTTTGTGCCGGACTAAACTCCAAGAACAGTGAAGACCTCCCTTTAGAAGGAGCAGGTGGCAGAGGCAGCGACCAGAACAACATTGTCAACATAAATAAGTTCTGGTTGTCGTCTGCATGTGGCTCGGACTTCTACATGGCCCCTGAGGTGTGGGAGGGCCACTACACAGCCAAGGCTGACATCTTTGCCCTGGGCATCATCATCTGGGCAATGATCGAGCGGATCACTTTCATCGACGCCGAGTCCAAGCGGGAACTGCTGGGCACCTACATACGCCAGGGCACAGAAATCGTACCTGTCGGGGAGGCTCTGTTAGAGAACCCCAAGATGGTTCTCCACATTCCTCAGAAGGCCAGGAGCTCCATGTCTGACGGGGTGAAGAAACTCCTCCAGGACATGCTCGCAGTCAACCCTCAGGACCGGCCGGACGCCATCCAGCTAGAGGTGCGGATGGACCAAGTCACGTGCGCTGCGTGACAGCACCCAACTTCCCAAAACCTCTCCTTTTTTAACTCTAACCAGTCAAAGAAGGGACCCCTTTCATTCCCAGGTATGCTCCGCTTCCTTGATAACTTATTAATGAATGTTCTCTTTAAGTTAGATATGTGCGACCAAAGAACCAGAAGCTTTTAAACCCAACCAAACAGCTAATATCACTGATTCATCCACCTTTAACCAGAGTGGAGGAGCATTCAGTGAAATGATCCGTTATAGTAATTAGTGGGACTTAAAACCTACACAGATCTCACCACCACTGGCTGAAAGGGGACACTGGCCATTGGTGACCCAGGGCTGAAAACAGGTAATCTTCCTTTCAGCTGACACTATTAGCCTGTTTGTGCAGTGCTGCATGCTATTTAACCGCTGCCTGTGGTATGAAGTCGCTGGTTCTTATGGTTTTCTGCTCTGCTTTACAGTGAAGACAGAAGCTATTTTTGATTACTTCCAGTAGGCAGGTTGACATTGAGATTTCACAGATAAAACTAGGTAAAGCATGTCTGTTGGAGTGTAACCTCTGTTGTGGACCTTAATCTTGTGGAGTGGTCAAACCGTAACTGGATAGTTCAAAAATGCATGCTATCCGGTGCCTGATATTTTTTAATTTTCTTTTTTGATTTTTTGTAGGTTCAGTCATAATTTCTATTAGTCTTGATAACTTTGGACTGAGATGAGAATGCCAAGAAGCACAGACAATCAAGCAGTCCTTGCCAGTATGGAAGCAAAATAAGTTTCAGTTGAACCTGTTAACACCTGTAGAAACCCTGCATACAGTAAGTAGAGTAGGTTAAAGTTGAAGCAGGAAGTGGGTCTGGAAACTAACATGGATGTTACAACGGAAAGTTTGGCTGATAGTTTTAGCGTTAACCTTTGGTTTCCTCTTCCTTATGTAGAAGAGAAAATTGTGATGTCCCCTCGCTCCCAGATTTCATCAGGTAACTTGTTTAGTAGAGTGTTTTTATTACTAACGGGAGTTATAGCCACAATATGAAAGCTGTGAAAAAATAATTTTATTAGTTGCATTAGGGCTGCAGCTAACAATTATTTCATTATCGATTCATCTGTTGATCATTTTCTTGATTAATGAATCAGTTGTTTGGTCAATAAAAGGTCAGAAAATGGCCAAAGTATGTTTTACTGTTTCCCAAAGCCCAAGGGGACGTCCTCAAATGTCTTGTTTTGTCCACAACCCAAACATATTCAGTTTACAGTCAAAGGGGACTAAAGAAAGCAAAACATATTGACTTATGAGGAGCTGAAATTAGTTTTTGAGACAGTTTTTCCTAAAACTATTAATTGATTATCAAAATCGTTGTTAATTTGATGTCTAATTGTTGCTGCTCAAAATTGCATCTCTATCAGTGAACCTGAGGATCTATTGGGCCATTGGAACCCCAAGTTCCCTGACCAGACATTAGACGACCTTGGCCTAGTCCCTTCACTCCAAATAGTTCCTAAGCCTTAATGCTGCTCTTGATTTCAGCCAAAGCTTCCCACGTCACTGTCAAGGAAACAGGATTAGCAAAAGTGAAAGTATCTATTGCAGAGTACTGATGTCAAAACACAAAACTGAGGCACTGGTACAGTTAACACACGGGTTGATCAACAGTCACTGTCACCACATGACAAAGGTGTACTTAACGTTGGAGGTAGGTTTCAGGAGGTGTGCTGATGGCCTTGGGGGTGTAAAGGGCGGTGTGAGAGTTAAGTACGTGAGCAGGGCCAAGCAGGGAACAAGTTGGGCCTGAGGGCAAACAGCCTGGTTTTAAATGAAATACCTACAGCCAATGTGTGTGTATGTGAGAGAGTCAAGCTGGAAACAATGAGTTATTGGCAGAGCGTCATGAACAGTGAAGGGATGTTTGGCATTAACCTGACAATGCACAGTACATGAGTTTTATCTAGTTTATGACACCTGGCAGTGAATTCCATCTGTTCTTGAAACACTGAATTCTGACTTCTGTTTCCATCAGAGTCTCTTCCTTCTGTGATATTTATGTCCCTTTCCCTGACAGTTAACTGGCTTATTTCCCACCAGAGAACATGAATGCATTCATAATGGTCTAAAAAGTCTCAGACCCTGAATGCATTTACTGTGCAGTCTGCTGCTCATGCTGCAATATTTGTCTCTGACCCACATTGGATCTTGGCTACATTTACACATGTGCCCAGTTGCATGAAGCGTTGGTGCTGTTAGTTTTTTCTAGATTGAAACGTAGGGATGACTATAACACATCTGTATTTATTAGAGCTTGACCAATACGATTTTATTGGGGGGAGGGGGGATTCACAGTTTACCATTACGGAGACCAATATAGTGAATTTAGCCTGAATGAAAATAGACCTTTTCTTTGTCGATTGTGCACCAATTTTGCACCGATATAACCATGTAAAGGTACTCAGAAGGCTGCTTTCTTAAACAAATAACTTTGTTAAATGTCGAGTGTGTAACATTTAGGATCTATTGTCAGAAATGGAATATAATATTCATAGGTTTGTTTTCATCACCTGAAAATAAGAATCGTTGTGTGTGTGTAGAATGAGACGTTTCTATCTACAGAACCTAATTTCTATTGAGGGGTACATTTCAGATATTGAGAAGTACCCCTCCCACAAAACAATCATGTACACCCATTCGGAAATAACTTTTTTTGCTGTAGTGACAGTGTAGGAAAAGTGTCCCCATAAGATGTTAATTGTCTCAGTTTGCTATTTAGAGCAGAAACTTCTTGCATCACATCAATCAGCCCGCGAGTGAATGTTCACTGACCCGAACCGTGCGTCTGTTTGTTTGAACTTGAACTCTGCGTTGACCACGACTAAGCCTGGCGTTTGTTTGACAATTAGCTCTCCAATCCTACAGCCATTCTCTGTTAACCCTTTATTGTAAGCCCCTGCGCAGAGACCCTGCCCACTTACCCTGTGACGTGTAACGCAGCTGTCAGCAGAGTCAGCGATAGGCTCTGAACGTGCGTCAGTCGACTGCTACAGATTGGCCTCGTTTTCGCTTCTACAGCATGTTACACAACAGTCCCACGGCAATGGGAAAACCTGTCATCTGTTGGAGAGGGATTAGTGGCTGTAAACATACAGAGGTGGTGGGGGTCTGTTGCATGTGTGTATTTATGTCAGGAGCTGGTTAACTGAGGGCAAAGCTGATTACTGATCTGAGTGACAATACTTAGATCACTGATGAGATTTCACACATATAGAAACACAGAAAGAGTCTCTGGTCTGATGGGACTGGATATGTTTCAGTTTGATTATTTTCATTGTAGATTTTTTTTTCTTAATCAAATGATTGCTGAATCTAAACAATGCCAAAAGATAATGAACAGTACTCATCAGCAGTTGCCAAAGTGATGTCTTTAGTGTGCTTGTTCGGTCTGACCAACATGTCAATACCCAAAGCTGTCATTCACTTTCTATTTATATAATTATCAAAACTGCCCGAATCATTTTCTCAAACTCATTTCAAATGGATTTGTGCACATAATAGTGCACTAGTTACAGGTATCCATTGGACTTCTTGCTATAACGGCACAATAATATGATGATTTTAATTTTTCATTTTGTTAGTTTAGTGTGTCTGATACTGGATGTTTATGGCTGATACTGATTTCAATATTTGAATTTAAAGAGTCACTGTGTCATAGCGTTAGGATCACAAGGTTCCAGCTCTAAATGGCCTCACTGTTTCTATATTGCCTCAACATAACATACAAACATATCATCTGCATTTCTGTACTGCAATTTGTTGTTACTTATCAGCAGACACACAGTACAAAACGGAACAATATTGACCGATATACCAGGAACATATAGGAATTTCCTAACCTGGCTTACTTCCATTAATCACTATCGGCTACATTAAGCCTGATCATTTGCCAGTCCTTTGTTTGCTTCACTCTCCTGCGCTCCGCCTTCTCCAGCTGTCAAGTGTGTGTCATGCAAAGAGATTATCCACTACGACTGTTTGCCAGGAAGCCTTTAAAAAGTTCCCAAGTACTAAACATTGAAGTATTTGTTGAATAATTTGCACCATTTACAGAAACTGAATATTGAAAGAAGCTCATAAGTCTCTGTGTTTGATGAGGTTGTAGTAACAGCTACTTTGAAAAAGAAAGAAAGATGCTGTGATCAATCAAGCTAGTTGTTTTTCAGAGCCAGTCAAGTATATCTCATCTTAAATGAACTAGTGTTACTGTGTCTTTGATGTGTTCACAGTGCACACAGACTTTATGTAAAAATTGTTTGGGAGTGTGTTGGGTAAATACTGAATATTTAATGGCAAGGACCAGGAGTGGGAAATCCCTATAAAATGTGTATTGTCAGCATCATATCCTAACGTGCGCATCTCAGTCTGTCTGACACCCCTCTGCCAATCTATCTCACCCATCCTCCCTGTCTGCCTCCAATCCGTCTCTCTCCCCCCTGCTGGACAATGAGAGTGCCGCTCCTGGTTCAGGGCTTATGGAGGCTTGCGTCTGGAACATTTTGTCCTCTTGCTTGCTGCCTGCCAGCCATGTGCCGCCTCTGTCTAAACCAGGCCAGAGCACTGTAAGGCCTGGCCCTCCTCACGTGCTCACAGTCTTTACTTTAGGAATCCTTTTTGATTTCATTGACAGCATGAACAGGCCCTTTACAAGTTGAGGCATTTTCAGGGTGTTGTCCCCGCACTGCATGCATGAATGCCTCCACATACTGTGATAAACATATGGTTGCCTTCAAAAAGGTCGATGTTTTTCACTTTTTGTCTTCCATCTTATCCAAATACTCCAAAGCACAGTACATTTTAAACAAAGCCAGGAGGCTCTGAGAGAATGCTGAGCTCACTCCTCTATAGGAAATTAATTTGCTTGGACAGCAGTGTGAAGGCAAGGTACAGTATGTTCTGTATTGGCTCTGTCAGTGGGGGGTATTACGGAAGGGCTGAGAAATGCCAGGAGGCCACCTTTTTGAGATTTTGGGAGTGGGTGTGATGAGCGGATTGGCGTTCTTATGCAACATGGTTGTAAAAGTGAGCTTTCAGTGACTGAGAAGCTTGTAAAT